TCGCCCACCGCGGGCGGGGGGGTGGGGGCGGGGGGGGGGGGGGGGGGGCGGGAGACCCCCTAGGCATCCGTGCTCATCCGTGCCGGGCCAGGGAACCCCCTGGGTGCAGAGCAGAGTCCATCGGGCCAAAGCCCCTCCCCCACCAGCACCCTGGTGACTCCCTTCGCCCCGGGGCCTGGGGTGGGTGCACCCAGGGCTCTCGCTGGCCTGCCCCGGCCTGGCCTGGCCCTCGGAACCAGCAACCTGCAGCGCTTAGGGGCCGAGATGGTTGTCGCTGCAGTTCTCCACCCCTCTGCCTCGGCCGGCCCCAGAGCCGGGCAGTGGGCACCTTGCCGTACCAGCCAGGGGGAAGGGGCGGTCGATAGTGCTGTACGTGGTGGCCCCAGCGAGGTGCTAGGGCGCCAGGTTCCACTCCTGCTCAGGCAGCACGCCAGGCACAAATGACGCATTCGGTTCTTTTACAATCCCCCTTAGACCAGCCAGAGGTCTGGGGCCCGAGCGGCCAGATGGGGAGGGCCTGCCTCTTTCCCCACGTACACTGTTTTCACAACCCCGGGCTGCAACGGGTTAGCCCTGATTTACACCAGAGCCGGGGGAGGGGGGGAGGAGAAGATACCTTAGAAATTATTCTTATTCTCATGTGATGAAAAGGGGCGCCTGCCGCCAAAGGAAAATGAACTGGGCAGAGTTCCGTGTTTGAATCGAAAGCGACGCACTAAGGCGAGGAAAGGCGGCGGGAATGCGCTGGGGGCCCGATGGGCCCATTATCTACACCATGCACACCTTGAGGAGAGGCTCCCCGGGGCGGCCCCCCCCCCCCCCCCCCCCCCCCGAGGCCTGTCCCGGGGAGGTCGGGGTCTGCTCCAGAGCCCCGGCTGAGCTGAGTTCTCTCTTTGCAGCCTCGACCATGGTGGAGGTGGCCCAGGCGCGCCGGAGCCCCGTGGACTTTGCCAAGGGCCTGGACTCGGTGCTGGGCGAGTTTGCATTCCCGGGCGAGTTTGTGGCCGAGGTCTGGGCTGCCATCAGCGGAGCCAAGGGGGGCAGGAAATAGGGGTGCAAAGCACTCGGCCTCTGACACCTGCCTCTGGGCCACGTGCTCCCTTCCCACCCGGCTGCAGCCCCCGCCCTCCTGCTCCCGGGGGGGCGGCTGGGCTCCTGCCCCA